CTTTAAATAACGGGATCAGACATAATGAAGCAGATCAATAAAGAATGCTTCTCCCTGACATTATACTGTAGTTGATCGAGGAATATCTCTCCTACAGTGGGAAAGCAAAATGTGAGATTTTTGTGGAATTTCCTCTTTGCGTTTGAGTGCTCTGGCAGTTGTCTATCTAAGAGTAGTAAAGCATGAACTTTTAAAAGGGAAATAGTCTGTGTCCCAGAATGGCTTATCCGCAGAGGACATTAGCCACACTTGAGTCACACTGCTTTTCCAAACATGGAAATCTTTTTTTTTTTCATTAGTGATCTGGATATAGAATCAGCATTAATAAATCCAAGAAAGGAAATGCACCAGTGAGGCTGGACAGTAGCTGGGAGATTTGTGGAATTATATATATATATATGTGGGAAATACTCAACTGGTTTAACTCACAAAGTGCTGATTCGGTTCCGCTGATGCCACGGTACCTTTGTAGAGAGAGTGGTAAGTGAACTTCTGGGACGCGGTGTCTTTACTGCGGTGATGCTGAAGCATCTCGAGCACGCAGAAGGGTGGCATTATCGTCAGTGAAAACAGGCAGTGGTTCCGATACTGAGGAGCCAGAGTCAGCCTCTTGCTTTCCTCATTATCATCAGTGAAAACAGGCAGTGGTGACACATGCCTTTAATCCCAGCATTCAGGAAAGCAGAGGTAGAGGCAGGCAGATCTCTGAGGGTTTGAGGCCAGCCTGACCTACAGAGTGAGTTCTAGGACAGCCAAGGCTATACAGAGAAACCCTGTCTCAAAAAAAAAAAAAAAAAAGAAAGAAAGAAAGAAAGAAAGAGATAAATCAAAACCAAGAGAACATTTGACACTTTATGCACTTGATAGACACAGAGAGAATGCATAGCAAGAAGCCAACTTTCTGCCCCTCAGAGGGCATCGAGCTTGGCAGGGCAGATAACAGTGAGTGTCTCAGTCTCATTTCTATTGTTGATTTAGAAAAAAAGTAAAACACTGACAAAAAGCAACTTGTGGGAGAAAAGAAGGTTTATTCATCTTACAATTCCAGATTATAGTCCATCATAGCACAGAAGTTACCGTGGCAGGAGCTCTAAATAGCTGGTCACATCCTATGGTCAAGAGCAGAGAAGAATAATGCACCCGGGCATGCTTGCCCTCTAGAGTTCAGGACTCCCTGTATAGGGAATGGTGCCACCATAGAGGACTTACAGCAACTCCCACCCCCACCCCTCAGATGTGCCCTCAGATTAGCTTAACCTAAATAGTTCCCCAGGTAGACTCTCTTTCCAAATGATTTTTGGTTGATGGCCATACATGAGCCCATCATTTTTATGGTTCACCAAAGGCTGTGCTTCCCAGGGAATGATGGACCCTAGGCTTTCATGTTTGTTGTGGGCAGAGCTGTCCCAAGTCCTCATCAGATGATTTGGTGAATTAACTAATAGGTGATGACTGAGAATATGTGGTCAACGAGGGTTGGCTTTGTGACGAGAAGCATGGGGAGTCAGAAGAGGAGCCTGAAGAACAAGGTAGCCTCCTTTCCCTTCAGTCCCCTGCCATCCACACATACCTTGGTCCTGGCTGAATCCCATCAGCATCCCTGCTGCAAGCTCTTTGATCATGTCTCCTGGCAAGTAGAATAAATTATAAATCTTTACCATAACTCTTCTTTCCTACATGAGCTGTTCAGAATTGCTCTCTCCTAACACTATAGCAAGCCTGTTAGTCATAGATGATTTAGACTTGGAAGATGATGATGGGGCTTGGAACCTCTTTCTGGTTCACTGTTGAAGAAGGCTCTAGGTGTCCTAGGATGACTATGACCGATTAGCAAGAGGAGGAATGATTACATTACCAGAGGTAGACCCTAAAGTGAAGCAGCAGCTACTGAGGAGTCCCTCACAGGGAAGTAGGAAGTGATGGTTCTCCTTCTCATCTGCTTCATCCCAAGCCTCTGGAGGAGCTGGAGACTGGGAGAGTGAAATCTTTAAACCACATAGGAATGTTTGAGCTTTAAATTAAACAATAAACAATCTGTCCACTAGCAAGAACATCCTGTCACCATGCCAGTTTTCTGTCCCAGCCTTTTTCCTTATTTACACTTATCCTGGAGTTTATTTTTTCCTGTAGGGAGATACAAGGTTTAAAAAAAAAAAAAAAAAAGTGTTGCCTATCTGCTAGAAATGGGTCAACGTTACCACCAATGTATATTTTTACTTTCCTTCTAAAATTCTTATTTAACTTTTAATGATTCTTTGTGATTTTCATATCATCACCATAATCCCACTCATCTCTCTGTCCCCTCATACCTGCCTTCCGCCCTCAACTCCCACCAAAAGAAAAAAACATGTCATTGTGGAAGCTGTAGTGTGTCACAGTGTGTCCCACAGTATACACTTTTGTCCACACTTCTTTTCTTGCAAATGTTCATTGCAATGAGTCGTTGGCCTCCGGCTTCTGCTACACTATCAACAGTGGACTCTCACTGGGACGCCTCTCAGATATCCTGTTGTTGCCCTGTGTCATGGAGATCCTGCAGCCTTGGACTGGCCTCTTCACGCAGTCAGCACTTCACTGATGGGGTAGATGTTGGAGCGGGCCAACTCAGAGCCCAGGATCTGGGCCTGGGCACCACCAACGCATTCTAGATCCACAAGAAAGGGCTGTGTGTGTATGCCTGTGTGTGTTCATTTGGGTATGCGTGTGGACATACATGCTTGTGAAGGTCAGAAGTCAACCTTTGGTGTCAGTCGGTCATTTCTAAAGATGTTATACACTTTGCTTTAAGAGACAGTCTCGGCTAGGCTGGCTGGCCAGTGAGCTCTAGGGACCTACCTGTCTGCTTACCCAGCACTAGGATTAACATGTGTTGGCAACCACACTACTTGGGATTGAATTCAAGGTCCCCATGCTTGGTCTTATTTACTGAGTTACCTCCCCAGCACCTAAGCATCTACCAAGAGGTCTTTGAAATGCCCCTCTAATGGGAGGACCTCGGAATTCTGATGCAAGCAAAGAAGGAATGTAGCAGGAGCCACAGGAAAGCCTGAGCTGATAACTGCATGGGAATTCAGCCTAGCATTGTTCTAGGTTAGCAACAGTCTGGTCCTTACACTTGCACAACACGTGGTTTATCCACTGAGTCATAGGGACTGAGCAACGTCCTTAGCTTTGCTATGACAGTTAACACCACCGTTCATCACTGATGAGAAGATGAACATGTTGAAATCGTTTATAATTTTCTTTTACCATTACATCCATATGGGCATTATTCTTTAGTATATTGTATCTACTTGTAAACTAAGAACTGATATTATTTTGGCTTGAGCCATTATGTAACTGTGTAAAAAAACCCCAAATCTAAAAATCATAAGAGGAATATCTATTTTCAAAATTCACAGACACACAAACACACACCTCTTGCATGCTCTTTCAAAAGCAAACAAAACCCCCTAGTACCAGTCATAGAAATGGGCATGCCTCTTCTTCCTCGGGTTGGGTGAGATTCCTGCGAGATTACAAAGCAAATTGTACTGGAACTCAGCAGATTCCCACTAGCCCTGCCTTACACACTTCTACAAAATGAAGAATACCTGCAGCATGATCTTGAGGGCCTTAGTAGAGTTAGCCTTCATAAAGCTCAAGAAACACAGGCCGCTAGGAGAATGTCTAACTGACAGTGTTATATTTGAATGTCCTCACAGCTCACAATCTAAGCTAAAATTACCCAGCATGCAACACCTCAAACATCTACCTCATATTGCTTTTCTCCTTGCTGATAAAATTGAAGAAAATTGCGTAGACCAAGGGCTACAAGATACTCCAAAATAAGTCAGTCACTTCTTTTTACGCCATGATTCTATTCACATACACTTACTTGAATACACGATTCTGATTAGTTTTTGCATTCTCCCCTATTGTTTGAATGTATTTTATGTAGTGTGTGTTGCACCTCTATGCATGTGTAGAGGCCAGAGGAGGACATCCAGTGTTCTGCTCTATAATTCTCTGCAGTATTCCTTTGCAGCAAGGTCTCTCCCTGAACTGAGAGCTGGGCCAGAAGCCAGAAAGAACCAACAATCCTCTGCTCTCTGTCCCTTACAGCACTGGGATTACAGGTGTGTGCAGCTATGTTCCACTCTTTATGTGAGTGCTGGATTTTAATCTGGGTCCACAGGCTCCCTCAGCCCTCCAATTTTTAAAGCACATTTGTTCATTTATGAGAAATGCACTGATGTGTCACTGTGCATCTGTGGAGATCACAGATCGACTTGTGGGAGTCAGTTCTCCCCTTTCAGCACGTGGTTCCCAGGAACTGAACTCAGGCTGTTAGGCTTGACAGCAAATACCTTTTCCTGCTATGCCATCTCACCAGCCATCTTCATTTATTCTTTTGGTTTTGTTCTGACTGCTGTGTTTCATTGTATGTGCCTATAGCCTATACTATTCCAGTGAAAGATTTCCCTTTAAGCTAGGAAAATAGGCCTATACTGGTGCTTCTTAAAGCAACTTCCAAGCATTTTATTTAAACACTATAAACTAAGTACAGTGCGAGAGAAAAGTCTGCAAATAAAACAAATGTACAGCTTTCTGGAAACACGTTGAAAACAAAGGAGAACAATCTTGGACGAGGCCATGTGACTATGCGGGGCTTCAAACAAATGGTTATTCTGCTGTGACATCTACGGAGCAATGCATCCATTGTTCCCTGGAATTTAATTCATTTTAAATTACTCATCCAAACGATCAACAACGAGAAGTTCCGTACTACGGGGGTGAAATGCAAGAATTGTTTTTATTGTGACCGCAACTGCTAGCTGGGAAGCAGTTCAGCCTGTTCTAATTAGGCTCCACTTATTGTCTTTTGGAAAACTGTTAGCTTCAGTTGTGAGTAAAATCTTGCGAAGTGGAAGGATTGGGATAAACGATTTTTGTCTATTCTGGTGTGATGGCAAGGTTAGCAGAGCCATATAATGACTTCCCACAAAGTTAGAGCAACGTTTTTTGGAAGAGAAAGTTTTATTTTCAAAACTAAACGCAGCATGGGAATTCTGTGTACTGTAAGATACAGTTTGATATGTGTATCAATATAGCCAATAAATTATTCTTTCTCTTCAAGGACTGCTATGTAAATGTTTGAATCCAAGACATTATAACTGGCTACTTAAGTGCTTTGATATCAGTATTCAGAAGCATTATAAGCACACATTACAAAAATATCAATCTATGACCCTCGGAAGAAAACATACATATACAAATATATGAATTCATATTCCCCACATGTCACATATTTGATATAAACCTTTGAAGCAAGTTTGTATAAGACAAAAACGAGAGTTCTCAAAAAACGTTAAGTTTAACTTAATTGCCAAATATTCATTTCCCCAAACATCAATATTTTTAAAATCTCTATGCAAAAGTATGCTTTCAGACTGCTTAAATGCTACAACGCACACAACAGTTTTCAAATAATAAAGCCATTAATTTTGCCATTTGAATACTATTGGATAAAGGATATTATGTGACGCGCACCCGAAAGAGTCAATGATAAAAAGCTGGCCTCTCCTACAATGAGGACAGAAAGACCATCACGCGCTGGCAGGAAGACACACATCACCCCTCCCTGCAATCCAGGTAGTTTCCTTTAATCCAATAGCAAATCTGAGCGTACTTAAGTGGAGTGATTCTAACTGCCACATTGAAGTCCTGTGGAGAGCCATTCATATCCACCCACTGATGCCCCGAGAAGATGCCAATAATTTTTCTTTCCCATTTCTGCTGTGGTCTCTTCCACATCCTCACGTAGACCCCTGAACCACTGGCTCCGGGCTGGGCATCACACTGCTGATAGAGAAGGTCATAGGTCTCGTCTTTGACATCACAGAAGCGGTACACTAAATTGCCTGGCCGGTCATTGTCATAACCCGAGAAGTGGATCCTGCCCCCTGGGAGCTGCTTAGCCGGAGGGCTGACCCCAATCTTCATGAACTTCCTTTTGTGGGGTTTCTTGAGTTCCAGGAGGGCATAGTCGTAATCCATGCCGATGTCATTGGCATTGCCCTTGATCCACCCCTTGGGTACATGGGTGCGTTTCACCCGGATCCACTGAAACTTCATCTTATCTGGCATGGCCGAGCTTGAGCTATTGTCCCCTCCACCGCCATCTTTATACTTGGGCTTCAAGAAGCCCACTCGGAGTTTCTGCGTCCCTTTCACATAGGTTTTTCCATCGTGTATGCAGTGGGCAGCAGTGAGGACGTGCTTCTCTGCCACCAGGGTGCCGGTGCAGCCGGTAGACAACTTCACCGATGTTGAGAAAGGGTAGTTGAGGAGGAAGTCCTTCCCGAAAATGCTAAACCTGCCGTCGTAGCCATAAATCTGCCTCTTCCTGCGAGGTCGTCCGGTGGCCTCCGAGTCTCTGCGCTGCGCTCGGTCGGCCCCGGTGCTGAGGACGTAGATGCCCACCCGAGTCTCTGTGCGGCTGCCATTGGCGTAAAGGGTCTCGTAGGAAAGGTACTGCTTGGCCTCTTCATAGGTGGGGAGTGGAGTTCCCTTGTGACACTGGGGTCCACATGAGGAGGACACCTCCAGTTTGGCTTTGGCATCGAAGTCTGGCTTTGCTAAGTTGAGGGTAGACTGAGGCAACACTACAGGGAGGCGATAAGCCGGCCACGTGGGTTTCCATGGAACACCGTAGGGACTCACCTGCCTGAACACACAGAGCAGGAGCAGGAGCAGGACGAAGAGCCCTGGGATCCGGGCCATGCTGCGTGCTACTGTGGAGACAAAGACAGGAAGTCAGGAGGACAAAGAGTATGTATCTAGTTCATTTACTGCCGCCTAGCAAAGCCAGGGGCATGCAGGTCGGGATCCCACGACTGTGAACCTTCCTCCGGTTCCTAGGGAGAGAACTCCTCAGGTAATGGTCTCACTTACATGCAAGTACTTGACGCTGGGACCATTCCCCACATCTCAGCCCCAAAGGAAGCTGGCTGTGTTTTTCCTTCATGCGCAAGAAGTAATGACCATGGCACATTACAGGGCCGCATCTACACAAATTACCAGTACTCTGTGAACACGTGGCCAGCTCTCAGTTTTATGTGATTTTAAACTTTCTTTCTACTTGCTTACACCTTGTCCTCTCCTCTCTAGCTACCCACAGACCCCTGGCTTTTTCTTCTTCTTCTTCTTCTTCTTCTTCTTCTTCTTCTTCTTCTTCTTCTTCTTCTTCTTCTTCTTC